CACCATCAAAAATTCGAATTTAATTAATGCTAGTCTACTCACCGTACAAACAACCGGAAACGCTTTCTCGTTTGCTAGAAGTGTGGAATGATCAAGACCGAGTAGTATGACAGCTGTATAAACCAAAATGCAGCCAAAAGCAGTTATATTGCTGAGCTTTGGGCTGGATAATTTAATCGCTCTGTGTGGAGAAAATAAAATGGATCGAACGAAGAAGGGAGAGAGAGAGAGAGAAAAAGAAAGAGAGAGATACAAGAACAAAGATGAGACTGAATTAGAATTGCAACACCAACCAACATATATCGCACAAATGCAATTTTCACGGAAAAAGTGTGGAGTTTTGCATAAGCAAAACAAGCAACGAATTCGTGCATACGTTTAAATTGAATTGAAAATGTGCTAAAAGATATAAATGTACACATACAGAAAATGGTTACGGAAATGGACAAACCATTTGTATGTTTGCAAATTGAGTAGAATATATGCGGATACGTTAACTCACTTTAATTTACGAAAATGTAAATTGAATGCCAAAAATGCTATCGACAATATGATGCCGATTAGTGCAAGTGTTGATACAATAAAAAATGCAAGCGGCGATATTGTGGCAACACGCAATTTAAAGATTCGCTTTGCAGTCGGTACCACGTCATTTTTCCACTTGATAGGGACACATTTCAGACAATCGAAATCCAAATGCAACTTCGATGGATGAAACAATGCAACTGACTGCAATTGACTATTCTGCACTTGACTGAACACAGAAATACCAATTCGATCAGCACCACTGAATGACACCGGTCCCTTTATGTTTTCATTCATATTGTTGTTGTTGTTATCGCAAATTGTTAAGTGATGCCATGCCATGCCATGGAGAGATAGAGAGACATGAAAGTAAAAAAAAAAGAAAAGAAAGAGCTTGAATAATTGAAAAAATGCCATTGTATCGAATATTTTATTGGTCCAATAATAATATATTTTTTTTGCCACGGAATTGAAATACGAAAAATCAATATTGAAATTTATTCGAAATTAAAATGAATCTATCGCAATTTTATTTTTAGCATTCATTTTCATGGAGAATAAACATATAAATGGTTATTTACTCAACGCCACAAATATACAACTATGCGCATCACCACAACACTTTCTATTCAATATATATTTATGTATGTGTGTGTTTGTGTTTGTATTGGAATTTATTGTTCATTCTCCACGAAGTGTGGCTGATGGCACCGATGTCGCCGTTGATTGTGCATACATACCGAAACTCCCAAAAAATTCAATCGACTGAATTGATGAAAAAATTCCAAAGCCATATCGTAGCGCGTATAATCAAAATGGTCCAGTTCAAGTTGTGTTGAAGATGAATTGCTTTTCAATTGTTTCCACTTGGCTTCGGCACCGTTAAGTGACAATGCAATCGCCCAAACTGCGTCATACGTTTGCGCTGCATATCTTGATAATGGTGGTGGTTGTGACACATTCAATTGTCGATTCAATTCGTTTATAAACATCGAATAGTTCTATAATGAACACCACACCATCGTAATTTTGTTGTTGGTTTGATTTTGAAACAAAAGGACGAGCATTGCAAATGTGGCAGACAAACATGAGAGCGGCGGGGGGAGATGAAAAAAGAGAATAAGATGACATCAAATTGTTTTTGTTAAAAACGCGATTTCAACTTAAGTTAAGTGAGCGAACAGAAAATGGAGCAATGATTTTGAAACGGATTATATTAAACAGAAAAGAACGTATTTTTTTTGCTGTGAGAATCGTTTTTACACAGACCCATACACACAAGCACATACTTACCAATCCGCTGTAGCTTATTTCATTGCTGACAATGCTATTGTAACTTGACACTATCAGCAAATTCTCGGAAACCTCTTGCAATTGTTTTTGGCTGCATTCATGTGTCGCTTTGTGCCACCACAGTTCTCCAACAATTTCATGCAGAATCCATACATAATCGGTTCCATACATGCCCAATTTGTAAGCCTGTATGGCAGTTTTGGCAAGAAAGACAGAGAGAAAATGGAAACGATAGCGATGGCAAAAAGAGAGAGAGAGATACATATACAAGAAAAAAAACATGGGAAATAAATGAATGGGGGAGAAGAGAAAAAAAAAGAAATGAAAAACACACAGTGAGATAAAATCCATCTATTGTTCTTCACACGAAGTGAAAACATAATTGAAGATGAATACGGCAACCACTCGAACTGTGCAAATGCTGTATATGTAGCCCAACCAAGTGTAGCACAAAACAGTTGAAGCATAAATTATGTTATTATTATTAATACCTCGCAAAATATTTTCGGTGCCAAATGATGTGAAAAGCTGCCGATGATGATGCGCGTGTCCAGCTCCTTTTCGATTTCGATTTCGTTTCACATAAAAAACGGGCCAAAGAGAAAACAGAATATAAATGGATGTAAACAAAAAATATTCATTTTGAATTTCAAATCAATCTTATTCATGAAATTCACTTGTTCATGCTCTGACACTTTGATTTGTTCGACTTGGGGACGGGGAGATGGCGCGAACAAGTATTTTCAAATAAAATATTTGGCAAGCAATTGTTTCAATCTCGTCGTGTTTTCATCTGCATTGTTTGTAAAATTTCACTTTTTCCAAAGACTTTCAAAGCGGAAGTGGCGCGCACCAGAGAGTGCGGAAACATCAAAGTCGTTATGTTCAATCATCATTTACATTCGAATTTATTTGAAAGCGATTTTCCACAAAACATTTGTTTCTTTACATCCATTGGCATTGGCACAATGGCATACATACACCACCATACCATAATCAGTTCACAATCGTTGCCGTCTGTGTGTATGTGTGAAATCCTTGCTTTCGATTTACAAATGAAATTGGTTACAATTCACATTTAAATGTTGGCATTGTATCGTTTTCTAGACAGATTACCGAACATAACGTGTTTCAATTCAAATACGTACCCACAAGAACATACACACACACTTTCCCTCATTCTCCGGCATGCATTGCAATGTTAAATCACGTATTGAGTGTGTTATTTCAGGATTTTGTGGTATTCGACTGCTATGGCATCTTATTGTATTGTGTATATTATTGATAGCGATGGTAGCAGACACTTTCGTTCGAAGAAGCGATTTGTTATCGGAGCTTTCAAACTGCATTTCCAACCAGTTTATCATGTTTCCATTGTTTGTGGGGGGTAAATGTAAATTCTATGAAGCCAATCGATCAAGATTAAGTTGAAATTCGGAATGTCACGAACTTTGGTCGGTTGGTCGGTACATGAGCAAACTTCGAATCTCAAACATTGACTGTTATTGTTATTTTTTTCTTTCTTTTATGGCAAAAGCATCAATCGTCTTCGAGACTGGGTAATGGACAGAGCATGCATGTGTCTAATCGATAGATTGTTGTTATTTTCATGTATATATAAGCATGATGATTGCCATTACACAGATTATTTATTTATTTTGTAAACGAAACCAATAATAACGTCATTCATTGAGCCATTCTACTTCGATACATCATCAACATAATATACAATATATTTATTGATTGTATGTGTGAGTGAGTGTGTATGATAAACCAGAGAGATTGAAACAAACCCCGTTGAGTTGAATAGATGTATGCAAGAATGCTTCTGAGCTCACAAACAAAAGAATAAAAAAAAAACTTTTATTTTTAAAAAAAGACCGATCTTACTCGTAACATTTTCAATTGATTCTTAAAATCGGTTTCGGCAAATGTAATTGTAGCTGCACAGGAGATATTGGCATTTTCCAATTCAGTTACTAAATCGTTTACAGCGAGCGAATGGATTTCTTCATTTTGTGAAAATGTTGTAACCGTATCCCAACCAAACCGGCGTATAAACGCAATTCGAGCTGGATTATGCGATGAATCGGGAGCGACAGTTCGATAGAATAATGGAAATTCACTTCGATCGCTGAGTGCCGGTGATGTTGATCCAAATGATACCTTTAACAAACAATTCAAAAAGAAAGAGAAAGCGACGTATGTAATTCAATAAATAAATTACATTTTCAATTTTCAGTTCACACAACAACAAGACTAACAAATGTGTGTGTGTGTGTGCTTTTTAAAAGCGATTTTGGGTTTGTCTAATGCGAAATATATACCAAATTGAGTGTTTTTTGTGTGTGTACCAAGAGTGAGACAGAGAGTAGCTGCTGTTGACTGCTGATGTTGTATGGAGATTGCAAGCTTTCTAAATGCCTTTAAGTGTTTGCACTTTTGTAAATGTTAGAAAATCAAACCGAAAATGATGTGACAAAAGAAAAGAGTAAAGATATTAAGTGTTTTTTTTTCTCGTCGACAAAAATTTGTTGGTAAGATTAGAAATTGAATCACTCGTACTCTCTCGATTTGGATTTATTCTTGTGAACATTGTTGTGTTTGGGGTGCTTTGATTTCATATCAAACGTCGTTTAATTGGCAAACGTGATGATGCCAGAGTGCTCGGCTAAACATCTCTTAATGCCATAACATGCAGGTAAAGAGTATTTAATAGCTACAAGCGATATAACTTTTATGGGTGTTGAATGTATCCCCACCTCCCCACCACCCAAATAAAAAATAATATATCTTAATAAAACACTCGGGCGAAAAGTGCTTTGGCACAGACAACAAGCGTAAACAAATATTGACACTCTTTCCAAATTTTCGTGTTGGTTTTTCACATTGACTGGTGCTGATGAAGCTGCTTTTACACGTATATTACGCAGAATTCATTGCTATTTTTTATGTCTCACTCTGTCCCACAACATTTTTGCTCTCTCTCTCTCTCTCTCTCTCTCTCTCTCTCTCTCTCTCTCTCT